TGTAACCTACAGTTTGGGATTTAACTAATTGCCAAAGCAGCTCAATCCCAAAATATTGGATACCGTATCTCCCGAGAAGTTCTGTACATTCTGTATAATTTGGTGTTCGATCTTTTCTATGTATCTCCATACAAATTCCATACTTTCTAACAAGTTCAAATTTTCGTACACCTATCAGGTTGCGTTTGAACGAACTGAACGAACTACTTAAGATTGTTATCTTTCCACCGTCTTTTACTAATGCGATGTCTTCTTTCTTCTAGATCAGTTCTCCTTTCTTTTTTCAAGGTTAGAATTGAAACTGAAAAGACAACTATTTTCTAGAACTTCTTATTTCCGAGAACTTCTAAAAACTAACACCTGCGAATCTTAGAAGCGGCGCTCGTGACGAGGCCCCACCAACAAAGGAGTTACTGTATAAAGCGAATTTTCCGAAGATTTTCAGTTTAAATATAATAACTAACCAGGTGAAAGTCTGAAACATTAAGCTTTTGCCGCACGGCCTAGTAGATCAAAACAAGCTGCTGCTCAAAGATTGTTTAAGGACAGTTCTTCTTTAATTCGACAATACGGCATTCGACAAGATAACGTTTGTTGAAGTTTATAATTTTCTTTCTCCGGAAGCTAAAGTATTCAACCAAGCCCTTCCTTCATAAAGTACATTTTAAAAAAAGAAAAAACAAGTTTTTCACCTTAAAAAATTTATTCTCCTCAAAACAATAAACACCAGAAATTGTCAGTAATCACAAAAGCAATACACGAGATCATTTGATAACAAAGAGCTCAAACTCATACACCAGTAGAGACAACAATACAATACCAAAGCTTGAGGTAGTCAAACGGAATCTGGAGAACGAGGTGGTTTGTGAAGGATTGACAAAAAAGAAGACGATACAACATTAGAGAAGGAAATTTTTGATGGTGAACTCCGATGTGGTTCAGATTAATATTAAAGAGTGTCGATTAAGATAAATTTTCAAGTTGGAGAGGGTGTAGAATGACGGTAACAGGATGGTTGAAAAAGTTATTTATGAGCATCCACAGCGATTTGCAACCATTCCGTTGAGGTTTGCCACATTGATGACACCTTGTTGATTGAGGTAGATCACCTTCAGGTAGTCGAACTCAGAGGCGTGGCAGCAAAGGCCGAGGCTGGTCAGATCCATGTTGGCGACCGAGTAGATGCTGTTTGCAGCTCGCATGATCCGTGCATGGCCGAAGTCGTTGAGAAGCTGAAAATTTTTGATTACAAAGCTAGCAGTGTTTCTGATAAACTCACATGATGTGCGTTTTTCTCGCACTGTCCTCTGCACATAAAAGCGTTGTAACGTGGTGGGGCGATCACCCAGTCCCATCCGATCTTATTGAACTCGACGATCAGGTCGTAGAGACAGCATCCTTCAGAGGGCTGGGAAGTGGCGCAGATTGCAGCCGATGGCGAACGACGAGAGCGGCGGAGGGTTGAGTTGGTGGATTGACCGACAAACTCCTTGTTCCGAAGGGAGAGTTGGAGGATCATTTTCTCGCTGTCTTTGGTCTCCTGCTGTGGATGTACAGCAATGTTGTGCTGTTCGAGCATGGCAGACACGAAGATTCCGTGGAAGGATCCTGATGACTCAAACCACCTGAGAGTTTTAGTTTTAGTTCTCTAGAAACTTGTAAGAAAGGCTTTTTGCTTATTAGTTCTTGCAAACATTCATAAATTCAACATGGTCGAAACTAACCTTTTGGCTGCTCCAACTGGCAGATCAATCGTGATTCGTTCACCTCCTGTTATGCGGAAAGATTGCGTCTTCACGAGTTCACCGAGCGAGTTATCTCTATTTTTCTCAAACACTTGGACTCTGACATCGTCCAGAATGTTCCTCGAGTAAGTCGGCAATGTTGTTGACACCATGAGTTTGGCCTGGAAACGTAGAGACTCAAATTCACATTGTTCTGAAACTTTTTTACTCACTTCTAGGATTTCGTATTTTTTCTCGAGGTCTTGGGTGACGTCGAACATTGCGACCATTTGCGAGCTATCCTCTCCGTCAAACGGATCCTTTGCTGAGTAGAAGTAGGTGTCTACGTCTTGGCGGTTGAAGTCCGAATTTTTGTGACGTTCGTCTTCGTAGAAATCGACGTACATCTTACGGAGCTCGGGGTCGATTTGGACGGCGGCGTCAGAAATTGGGGCTCCAGGAAGCTGTTCGATTATGCGTTCCTACAAAACACTCACATTTGAACCAGTTTTTTGCGTTCATCGCTGTTAAAACGAATCAGACATGAGACAAAAAAGGAATCTCAGGATGTTTGTCTTAAAACCCTAACTAACCGTCATTTTCTAGTGAAGTTTTGAGTGTGGTGGTGCCTAAGTTAGGTTCGTTTGACTATGAAATCTAGCTTTGAGATCTACCATTGAAATAACTAACCAAAACTTCGCGTGTGCGGTACGCTTTCAAAGTTTCCAGGCAAGCCTTGTCTTTGCCGCATCCTTTTTTGTCATCATCCAATTGGCCAACTGTTTTGGCAGAAGTCTGAACGACAACGTCCGTTAGAAGAAGCAGGAGAATCCACTTCATCTTCAGTAGATGTCAAGAAGTGATTGAGAATCAGAAAGAAGGTTTTTTTTTCGATAGGGGTTGGGAGGGGAAGGCGGTCGAAAAAATTTCTTTTCGAATGAAGACTTTTTCGTTGGATGAAGCTCCTTTTAAGCACATATCTGCTTCGCCCCGCCCCTTTCAGTTGTTCTTCTTCTTTTGTGGGCGGAGTTTATTTGACGAAGAGAGGTCCTCTCGGAGCCCGAAGAAAGAAATATCACAAGGGAAAGGAGCAATATCACAAGGGGCGGAGCTTCTAGAAAAACATGATGAACAATTTGGAGCGGGAAGGATTTTCAGGTGTGACTAATCAGTAGTTGCAAAACATTCGGAAGCTCTGGAAGGACCAGGGAAATATAAGAACTTGAAAGAGGCGCTACCGTAGTTTTTGAGATGCATGCGGCATAGATTAAACTACTTGCGGGTTGAGAAAAGTGGTTTTTCCAGTTGAAGAGATTTTTGGATAGATTTTCAAGGATGGCCATCTCGACATTTGCACTGTGTGGGTATAAGTCATCGAAGTTCCTGAAAAATTGTGTTTATTTTAATTGCTGAATTTAGAATTTCGAACTTTGAAGTTTTCACTTCGCGTCTGTATAGAAGGGACGAAGGTTGTTTCTAAACTCCCAGAAACCTAACTCCTTAGGTTTTACAATCGAATTTTGTTCGAAATTTAGTAAATCTTTCTGATAACTTACAAAATCTTTTATTCCTAAATTCAACAAAAATGCTATATATTAGGTTGGCGGGAAAGTCTTTGTCACTTTTTCAATAGTTTATTTCTCAAAGAAAAAATAACCGAATAATTAATTATATTGTCCATCATTATCAACAACATGTCTCCAACGTTCCCTCAATTTATGGATTCCATTGCGGTAGAATCCAGCCGGGCGTGAGGCAAAGTATTGTTTGAGTGCCGCTTCGACCGCTCCACGGGAATTGAAGCTTCTTCCTTCGAAGGCACGTGTCATATCGCCAAATAACCAATAGTCGGAAGGAGCAAGATCAGGAGAATACGGGGGGTGAGGGAGAACATTCCATCCATATCCCATCAGCTCCTGCTTCACTTGTTTCGAAACATGTGGGCGAGCGTTATCATGTTGATAGTACACTTTCTTGTCTTTCAGGGCCGAACGGTCGACTGCTTTCTTGAGGTTTCGTAGTTGAGTAGTGTAGAGGTCTCCAGTTATTGTTTTGCCCTCGGGCAGAAGTTCCCAGTAGATGGGGCCGTCCACTCCCCACCACACAGAGAGCATAACTTTTTTCGGATGAAGGTCGGGTTTTGGGACATCCTGTGGGCTCTCTCCTTCTCCAACCCACTGGGATTTCCTGTGGTGATTATCGTAGAAGACCCACTTCTCATCTCCGGTTATTAGCCGGTCCAGCCATCGATCGCCCGCGTGGAGAGTGAGAAGAGTAATCGAATCGTCGACTCGGCGGTCAAGGTTGGCTTGAGTCAGGTGATGAGGTATGAATCGACCAAAAAGTTTTCTCATTCCAAGAGACTTCAAACCTTCAAGGACTGTGCTATGGTGAACTCCGAATGTGACAGCTAGTTCACGGCTAGATTGAAATGGATCCGATTGCAATGCGTGCTTCAGCTTGTCCAAATCCAACTCACGGGGTCTCCCAGAGCGATCCTTTTCATCGAGCGAGAAGTCATCTTTTTCGAAACGATGGAACCAATTGCGAATAGTATTGTAGTGAGGGGCATGTGTGTTGTACACATTCTTCAAGAAAGTTTCCGAATCCTTCATCGTGGTGTGAGATAGGAAGAGGTAAATCAAAACATGTCTGATGTGAATAGCAGTGGGAACAAACATATCGTTTCAATTACAGATGAGGAGCAGGGAAGGAAATGGGGACTTGTTTATATGGAAGGTTCTTATCACCTTGTTATTCACTAGAGTCGATATCATACACAGCCTCCATATACGAGAACAGTGATTAAACAAACAGAGTGACAAAGACTTTCCCGCCAACCTAATAAAAGTTATCTGAAATTTTTTCAATATTAATAATTTTGAAATTTCGGACTTTTATTTTTATTCAGAAAAAAAGAGACCGACTTATCCTACACAGATTGTATATTGGAACCACAATTGTTTCCCGAAATTCAATATTTTTACAAAATTGTTTTCCCGATTTTAGCACAGAAGTAACCATTTCTTGAAGTAAACTGTCTCCTACCAAAGTACACAATTTATTTCCCCGTTTTGTCGTCAGCCGTCTTCCAAGCACGACGAGGGAATTCGTTGACGTCGATCGGGGTTAAAATTCCCTAATTACCAGTTGGATGTAGATGTTTACACCCTATAACATGTGCTATCTACGCACGAATTGATATTCTTGGATCAATTATAATCACCCAGTGATCTGATGGGAACAAATTGAAATCTAGAAATCGGACCATAGCTGACGCATAGTGCATTATGAAAAAATGCACTTTTGAATATTATCTTCGAACTACGTCAAACGTGCTCACTAGGCTTGTTAGGTTGAACGTCAGTCTACAAGAAGAAACACATTCGATGGCACTGGAAATAATAAAGGATATTTCTGCGAGAGTCCTTTTATATTTACATTAATACAAAAATAAAATACAATGAAAATGTACCATAATAAATAGAAAAAGAAGCGATCATCAATTAAACAATACAATTCACAAGAAAAAACATCTAAATCAAAAATTGTTGATAATCCATGGAAATGACTGGTCTCAAAGATGTGGCGATGTTGTGACGAATTCCTTGGATTTTGGCTGAAGTTTTTTTTTTAACTTTAAAAAGTAAATTTGTCGTCGAACCGGTAATACTTCGATTTTTACTTCATTAAAAAAAAACATTAGACTTCCTACTATACAAAATGCACCTAGTTACCATAATTCTTGATCTTGTTTCGGAAGTTAAAGATCAAACTTTCTCGAAACTTTTTTCATTTCCTAAAGAAAAAAAATTTTATGTCAACTTCAATTTCCGGTATTTGTGAGGGTGGAAAACCTCCGAAATTCTCTCTACTTGTTATTTGAGTTCTGAATCATGTACACCATGCGTGCTAACCTTCCGGTTAAGCTTCCGAATCAAAAAACCTTCAGGAAAAGTTTTAAAAATTGTATTTTGTTCGGAAATGGATGGACACAGTGCTCAAATTTTTTAACTGACCAGGACGAAAATCGTTGCTGGAAGGGAGCGAAGAGCTTGTTGGAGCACTGAATCGGCGATTTGTGCAGACCTGAAAATTTTAAATAAGAGAATGTTCGCTATGATTGAATAAAATACTTGAGCGAAATTTTCGGGAAATTGAGACGACCGGCACTGAGAGCCATGACGACTACGGTCACTCTTCGCGTGGCACCAGGAAGCACTGTGACGGTGATCTGAAAAAAGTTTAGTTGGTATTGAGTTCCTAAATACTGAAGAATACTCAAGAAACTAGGCTGTATAATCTCAATAATTTTAGGAACAATCCCACTATTGGATCTCTGAATTATTTAGTAACCCTCGAATCTTTGTTACTCTGAACCCTTTAACCTCCATTCTATCCGTTTCATACATTCTTCTTGGTCTTTGAGCTACTAATTTTGTTATTGTTTTTAGTATGGTCCTCCTAGATTTCTTCATCTCACACACGGCGACGTTCTTCTCATTTACCTTACTCCAGACATCATAATCCGCTTACGTTTGCCAATTTCCTCTTAGTGACAGCTCTTGCGCATGGCGACAGGGAAGTTGTCGTTTGAAAACATGGTAACGAGGGACTTGACATCCAGGAACGGGCATTCGGATCTCTGACCTTTCGACACAAAGACATTCCAGAAGATCAAAACACTACAGAAGCCGGTAATTAATCTTGTCGACTTCAACAAAGTAATTTTAGGAATACCCAACTGTACATAGCTTCATGTCGGCGATTTCCAGCAATTCAACTGTTGCCACACTTCCTTATTTGATCTCAATCTCCTTCCTGGGCGCAGACACATCAATCTAAAGTATCCATACCCGTGCCCTTGCGGTAAATCTGGTGGTCCGTTCCGCCCATACCAAAATAATTAATAACCGAACAGACGTGAGAGAGATGAGGGATAAAGATGTCTGAGACCATAATTAGATAAATTGTCTCGCTTTGTCAAGAGGAAAGATTTCGTCGTATGTGAAACGTTATTTCCAAAATTATAAACATGAAGGGAACCGGAGAATGCAACCATGAATGATATATGCATTTTCTGGACATTCCTGCTTCAAACATCTGCCACGGACGTTTTCACCCGATGAAATAGTATCTCTTCATTCAAATATCTTTATCTTGATCGAAGAGGTATTATTATTTATTGACAAACGACATACCCTGAAAGGGTTTATCTTTTTGCCTTGTAGCTGCACAAGATGATATTTATTATTGGGAATTGTAATTATCATTAGCCACGTGAAAGATTGTGGAACGCACAAAATGACAGTGAAGGTGAACCTGACTAGACTGTCTCATAACATATCACACTGTGTTAAATATCTGTGAGAAACTGATCTTAAGCAAGAAGAACTATGGGCTTAGCCAAAGTTTAAAAGTTCACCAAACCAATCTTATAAAGAATCAGCAAAAAAGTTGGCTTAAAATTTTTAAAGGTTTTCGAACATTCTCACACTATTTCGACTATTTCTTTTTTTCTCACACTGATTTTTCAAGACATTTTTCGTGAGTCCCGGAATCCATATGAATATTACCTTTCGCTCTCCACTGAACATGAACACGTCGTTGAGGTCGAAATTGGTGCTCACCTCGATTACCTGAAACTTTTAGGGATTGGTTCTCAACTTCCGTTTCCTACTGATTCATCACTTGTTTTTAAACGCTCTGGGACTGGTTTACCTAGGACTAGATTGATACTGGGACTCTTCTACATCGAAAA